TTATTCATGTTAAAGCTTTATAAATTTTCTGCAACTGAAATTATCTGCTGGATGGTTTGTAATCGCCTCTACCCCTTGTTTTGTAAAGAATTCTTTTCCTAGTCATAGGTGTGAAAGGTACCTGATTTTGTTGTCTTTTAACTTTTTTTCCTGGTGTGACCTTTAATATTTAGGTTGGGTATCCATTTTGAACTTATTGTGCTATGTGGTGTAAGATGCTGTTCTTAATCTAATACCTGCTAAACTGCTTTCCAGCTTTCCCAGTAGATTTTGTCAAATAGGGAATCCTTCCACAAATATCTTATGTTCCTGTGTTTATTGAACAATGAGCTACTGAGTTTGTTTCTGGTTCTTCCTTAGCTAATCTGTTCCACTGATCTACTTTTCCTTGTTTTCTCTATCAAATACAGTTATCCCTTCCACATCCTGGGGGTAAGGAGTGTGGTGCCCCATCGATATGGAAAATCTGCGTAAAAGTTTCTGACTCTCCCTTCGTACCAGAGAAGTCATCTAAATTATTGTGGTATTAAAAGATAAAATATGTTGATATTATACAATACCACACATATGTTTTATGCATTTCTGAGTTCCTAAACTTTTTCTGTGTTGTCTGCTGGCTTTCACGTGTCATCTGTGGCTTCCACAAAACTCCCCCAAAATTCCTATTTAATTTCTTATGCGACTCCACATAATATCCCCTTAATATCAAAACCGCAATGGGGAAAGTTGCGACATGGAAGGGATAACTGTAGTTTTAATGAGTGCTTTATAATATAATTTGAAGTCTGGAAATGCTATTCACAAGAGAAAATTTCTTAACCAGAAAAGAGAGATGATAAAATGCTATTTTAATTATATGAAATTTAAAAGTTTTTACCCAAACAAATCAGCGCAGAAAGAAGAGAAATTGTCAATATTTGCCCCAAATATCTGATATCGCCCTGCTTCACCTAGCTACATACATACCCCCCCCAAATAAATGGCACATTATTGCCCCATAAGAAATGAAAAAATATGGAATTGAGACAAATAAGTGAAATGGTGAAGAATAAAGTAAGCAGAAACAGACACTATACACAATGACTATAACACTATGAACCAAAAGAGAGAAGCAGAAGAAGTCCTTCAGTTGAGACTTCATTTATAGAGAAACTACAAAAAGAGGGAGAGGTGCTGAGGATGGCGGCGGCAGCCTGCCTCCCTAGATTGGTGCCTCACCTCATCAATCTTGGTGGCAAAGAGGTGGGAGTCTACAATTATATAATATTGCATACATTATCAGATAGTCACTTTTATCAGTTTTGTTGTTGTTATTACAAAGGGAAAACAAACTTCCTGTTTCCTTCCCTTTAATCACCTAAAAGTGATTAGAAGCGGGAAGAACTAGAATCTAAGGGGGTGCTTTAGATTGCTTCTTAAATAAACTATGGTATATGAATATAATGGAATATTATTGTGCCATAAGAAATCACAACAGAAACAAATTCAGAGAATCCTATGTGGTATGAACTAAAGCAAAATGAAGTGAGCAGAACAGAGAGGAATTTATGTAAGAACAACATTGCAAAGAAAAACTTAGAACTCTTAACAAAGCAATGGTCAACTAATTCTCAAGAGCACCTGTGACAAAGCATGGTACCTACCTCTTTATGGAAAAGTAATGGACACAAAGCGCAGAAGGAGACAGACATTTTTGGATATGGCCACTGTTTTGCTTGACTAAACATATTTGTTGAAGGGCTCTTTTTCTTTTTTTTTAACCTTTCCAATTATCTCCATTTTGGGGGGTAGGGTTACAGAAGCAGGTAAGCAATAGAGACACCAAAAACAGAGGGCCCTTGTAAAAATATTTTTAAATGCATGGAAGGAGAACAGAAGGAAGCACAGACAAGCAGGACAGTTCTGAAAATAAATTCTGAAAGTAAGGTACAGAATTTATTTTAGATATATTTTAAAAGCATTTATATACCTTGTTACAAGGATTCTTCTTTTTTAACTTTTCCTTATGTCCATTAAGGGGGGGGGGGGGGCAAGAGTGTAGCAGCTCCAAGAAACAGAATCATTGTAATTTTTTGAAAATGCACAGAAAACAGAAGTACAGTCAAGGAGGACAGTTTTGAAAAATAAAGTGTTGAATTTATTTTATATACTTAAAAAATTAACATGTAGATTTATTTTGCTTGACTATACTTGTTACAAGGATTTTTTTTTTTTAACTTTCCTTACCTCCTCTAAGGAGGCAGGGCATAAGAGGGGACAAGCAGTAATGGTGCCAAAAAATAAGGCCTCTGGAACGTTTTTTAAAATTTGTTTTTGGGTTTTTGTTTTTTTTTTTTGGTGAGGCAATTGGGGTTAAGTGACTTGCCCAGGGTCACACAGCTAGTTAAGTGTCATGTGTCTGAGGCTGGATTTGAACTCAGGTCCTCCTGACCCTAAAGCCAGAGCTCTATCCACTGCGCCACCTAGCTGCCCTGATTTTTTTAAATTTTTAGATGAAAACAGAAAGAAAGAGACAAGCAGGACAGTTTTGAATGTAAAGTATAGAATTTATTATATATATATTTTAAAAGTGTTTTATATACTTTAACAGATCTGTGTAGATTAATCTTGTTCAACTATGTTTTGGTTTTTTGGGACTAGGCAAGGGGTTAAGTGACTAGCCCAGAGTCACATGGCTAGTGTTATGTGTCTGAGGTCACATTTGAACTCAGGTCCTCCTGACTCCAGGGTCGGTGCTCTATCCACTATGCCACCTAGCTGCCCCTCAACTATGGTTTTGTTACAAGGATTCTTTTTTTAACTTTTTCTTATCTCCATTTTTTTTTGGGGGGGGGAGAGTACAGGGGAAGAGTGAGTAAGCAGTACTGATGTCAAAAGGAGGGTACTTGTGACATTTTTTTAAATGAACAAATGAGAACAGAAAGAAGCACGGACAAGTGGGGCAGTTTTGAAAGTAAAGTGTAGATTATATACTTACATACTTTAAAAGATCAATTGTGTAAATTCATTTTGCTTGACTATGCTTATTTGTTAGATTTTCTTTTTTTACCTTTCCTTATGTCCTTTAATTGGGGGGAGGAGGTTAGCAGGGGAGGAGTGAATAAGCAGTAGTGGTACAAAAAAAAAAGGAGGGCCATTGTAACATTTTTTTAAAATGCTCAGAAGAGAACAGAAGGAAGCACAGACAAGCAGGACAGTTTTGAAAGGTACAGAATTTATTTTGTGTATATATATTTAAAAGCAAGTGATGTGAAATGAAGATCCGTAGTTTCATATAGAATGCTTTTTTTGTAGTCTGTTGTGTTTATAGAAATGCACTTTCTTGGTGTTAACGTTCAGAATTTTAAAAAAAGATAATTTTTTTTAAAAGAAGAGAAAGGAGACACTACTGCACAGATCCTTGTCCCTATCCTAGCACCTTACAGAGATTAACAACGGAGGTCTCCTTGTCGTGTCCACATCTCTCCTGATCTGATACTGCCGGTAGAAGCAGCATCTGCTCTGGGCTTCATCACCACAAAAACCCATTTGGGCGAGGCCCACTGCAGCTAAGAATGGATTTAGTGCGTGTGGTCCCCATATTTCAATGTGGGTTTTGGCCATAGCCCCCATGGTAAAGAGGGGACCAGAAATGATGTAAATGCATGCTGCCTGGGAACTAAAGGCCTCCTTCACCACATGACCCTAGAACAAGGGTTCATGGTGCACGAACTTGTTTTGAATATTATTTTTTAAATTGTGTTGCAATAGAATTGGTTTTCTTTGTAATTCTATATTTCCTATTTCAGGCATTTAAAAACATAATTCTGAGTGAGGGGTCCAAAGGCTTTCCCAAACTGACTGCAGATGGGGCTCATGACAGAAAAAAAAATCAAGAACACCTGCCCTAGAGAATTATAAGGTGGAAGATTCTACTGTTCTGTGCAGTTTGGATTCAGTCAAAGGTCCGAACTTGAGCACAGAGAGGATTCGAGGCTGCAGGTTTACCGCCCCTGAGATCTAGATCTTAAGTAAGGAGGGTCCCGGGGGGGGGGGGGGGGGGCCGCGGGCAAACAGTTCATTTCTCTTTCATTTTCCGAAGGAGGAAACAAGGTCCACTGAGGGAGTCTCATCTAGGGTGCTGGATTTTAAGTTGGGAAAGCCCTGAGTCCCACCCCTTTTGTTTTCCAAGTGGGGGAGGGGAAGGGTCTTGCCCAGGGTTCCACCTAGGGTACTAGATTTGTAGCCGGGAAGGCCCATGAGGGCCAAACAGTCCCACCCTTTTCGTTTTCCAAGTGTGGAAACTGAGGCCCACGGTGGAGAAGGGCCTTGCCCGAGGCCTGAGGGCCTTTCCCTCCCTCTCAGGCCCCACGCCCCCTCCCCCACCCCGGCCTGGAGGCTTCAGCTGTGGGATGTGCACCAGGGCCCTCTAATGACTCTAGCGCTCAAGGCCTCGGTAGAACTCGCGTCTTCGACTTCACTCGCTGTGGAACTACAGGAAGAGGGAGTTGCGGGGGAAGGCGGGCGGGCAGGCCGGCCGGCCGGGCTCCCTCGCTCGGTCCCTCACCTGGTCAGTCTTGGTGGCCTGGGATTTGTCCGACAGGACCTTTTCCTTCAGCTGCTCCAACTTTCCGCTATAGGCCAGGTTGCAGACATCCACGTCCGACACGAGGCCCTCCATCTCGACTACTTCGCGAGCTCCCACTTCGGCCCCGCCTCTTACTCTAGGGACCAATAGAAGAACCGCTAAGGCGGGACCCCAGCCACTCAGGACTCTCTACTCTTTCCCCACCTCCAGAGCCCAATCGTTCCCCTCCCTCACCTCCCCCCATCCTTGCCTTATCACAATAGCCTTCTGGGAGGTGTAGTTCTATGTAGGCTCCAGGCGGGGGAGCCTTCGCCAATACTCTACCTCAGGGTGTTGGGCTACGAGTCCCAGCGTGCCTCGCGGCGCGCAGTCGCAGTGCAGTCTGCGGTATGCACCAACGATGACAGCTGGAGAATGGAGTGGAGGCCTTGGAGCGGCGGCGGAGGCGATGGATGGGTCAGCGAGCGAGCTCAGGCTTCTGGGGACACACTCCGAAGCCCAGGAGAGAAACGGGGTGAGTGGTGCCCGAAGGCTAGGTGAAGGGCTCAAGCGGGCACCCCTGGCTGGGAGCTTCGCTGGCCGCCCGGCCAGGTCTCTCTGCTCAGAGGGACGGGCTCGCGGCCAGAAGAGGTCGGGGGAGATGTTCCCAGGGGTCACTTAGGGACGTTGTCCGAGTTAGGAGAGCCCGAATCAGTGTGCCCAGGGGCGGATCCTGGGGGTCCGGCCGTTGCCGAAGAACTGACACAGGCCCCGCAGTGACGTCATGCAGAGGCCGCGTCGCTATGGACTTATTCTTGCCCCGCCCTAACGCGGTGACGTCACATGGCCATTCCACCTAAGTTTCTGTGGACATTATGACGAGCACGGCATCATGGCAACCGCAGTCCGAGGTTTTAGGTTCACAGGTTGAGAGGCCAACCTCATCTTTTTACAGATGGGGAAACTGAGGCCCGGAGGTGAAATGACTTGTCCCAGGTTACATGTAGGATCCTAGATCTAGAGCTGGAAGGGTTCTCAGAGTCCATTATACCCAGTCCCCTCATTTTACAGAGGAGGAAAGTGAGCCTCATAGAGGGGAAGTAATTTATTTGAGGTCACACAGAAGGACAAAGGTTTCAAATTGAAGGCCATGTAACCCCCCTCATTTTACAAAGAAGGAAAATGAGGCCCAAGAAGGTGATGAGACTTGCCCCAGCTTGCATAAGTAGCAAGTGGCAGTCATGATTTGAACCTTAGTCTTCCAAATCCAACCCTCTCCATGACCCCACCAGTGGTTACCTGCCTCAGTCTCCCACTACATCTGGGCCTGGTTCCAGCTATACTTCATTCATTGGACATCCTTCCATGCCTCCCTCCCGACCTCCAACTTATACTATCCCCTATCCAGTTCTGGAACCATAGTAAATCAGCTGTCATTGCTCCAAGAATGGGTGTGTCAATTTACTCCCCAGTGGCAGCATTTGCCCTCCCTGTATCTTTTCAAACCAAAAGATCCCTTTCTGGCCACCACTCATACATGTGGTATTTGTCTTTTAAAATGTAAACTCCTTGAGGTCTGGGACACCTTCTACCAGTGTAAATATAGCCAACCCATTCTGCAGCTTCATAGGACAGTAGATTTAAAGCTGGAAGGGCTACCCCCTCATTTTACAAATGTGGCATTTAAAAAGTTTGAAAGACATAATTTCTGGGCAATTTAATCATTTTATTAATAATACTAGAGTTTTTAATAAAAGGCCAGTGGCACTCTGGAATGCCCCTGGCAATCACAAGGTGGCTGGCTAACTGCTTATATGCCTTTGGAAGAAGGGTGTATCAATTCTGATTGGTTAACAATTAATGAGAGGGGCAGCTAGGTGGCGCAGTGGCACCAACTTTGGAGTCGGGAGGAATTGAGTTCAAATTCGGCCTCAGGCACATAACACTTACTAGCTGTGTGACCCTGGACAAATCACTTAACCCCAATTGCCTTGCCAAAATTACAATTTACGAGAGTGTGAGTATTATAATAAGGGGCCGAGAATGATATGAAATCAAAGAGAGACTTTCTCAATACCCAGACCACCCCCAGCCTTGGGCTATCTATTCAAAGAATTTATCCCCACCCATACTTGAGTAGTAGCACTAAAGGCTTCCCCAGCTGGGTGGGGTCAGAACAAGATTATTGAGAAAGTTAATCCAATCTCATCAGCAATACCTCCAGAGACTGAACTTTTGAAATGAGCACTTTCGAAAAAAGGGCGGGGGACACCCTGGATCTCTCCAAATCACTGGTTATTAATAATCATTTCTCTCACAGATGAGAAAACTGAGGCCCAGGGAGAAGCAGTGACTTTCCCCAAATAGCAGAACCAGCATTCAAATTCAGGTCCTTTGACTCCAAATTCCCTTCTCTTTTGACCAAACCATATAGCCTTGATTATAGTCTTAGAGAGTTGCTTGAGGCACTTAGAAGTTAAGTGATTTGCTCAGAGTCACATAGCCACTGTGGGAACCCCAACACTATGATTTTGCCTAAGAGTAGAAGGGCTACTATGAGCTTTTGAGAGTGATAAAGGTTTCTTTGTTTTTAGAAGGCTGGTTGAAATTAATGATTTATAATCCTTGCATTAAGTCAATCTTGTGGCTTACAATGTTTTCCAAAGCTTCTTGGAGATAGCAGAAACAGAGATTTTTCCAAATAATAGACCTGGTTCTTGGCTGCCCTACAGCATATTCACATGCTTTCCCCTTCCCCCCCCCACCCTCAGGAAACCACATTTTAAACTGTTTTAGAATTTTTGTAAGTATATGCAAGGTCATGTGGAAGAGAAAGACATTAGCAGCTGAGCAAGATCAATAAAGGCCTCACATAGGAGGTGGCATTTGAGCTCAACCCAAGAAACTGGGGATTCTGTGAGGTGGAAGTGAAGAGGGAGTACCTTCCAGCTCTGGGGGACAGCTTGGACAAAGACAGCAGGATAGGAGATGGAGTGGCCTTTGTGAGGAACAGCAAGAAGGCCAGTTTGGCTGGAAAAGAGAGTGAGTGAAAGGGATATAGAATGTATAATAAGCCTGGAACTGGGACTAGATGGACAGATTTGCCTAGGGTCCACCTACAGGACAGGGCATGGCTTGATAGTACAACAGTAGGGTCTCTAGGTATATTCCATCTTCACAGGTTATCACTTGGGCTTTGAGCTGATACTAAGGAACCACTGGAAAACAAAGCCCTATAGACAAAAGAGCTTATTTGAGTTCCCTTCATAGATGGACAGTATGTTTTTTATGACACATTTATTCCATTTGGAATGTTGGGCTAAGTCTAAATTCTGGATCCTTTAAGCAGAAGTTTTCCTCTGTAAACTACAGCACATGTGTGAGAGAAATGATTATTAATGACCAATGATTTGAGGAGATTCAGATTTCCACCTTTTTCTTTTATCCTCATTTCAAGACCTATCTGAAGATTGAGCTAAACTTCTCCTCTGTCCAGACTCCACCCAGGTCAGGGAAGCCACAGTGCTCGACTCAGGTTTGGGTGGGGATAAATTCTTCTAATAAATTGGCCAAGGCTGGGGGTAACTTAGAAGTAACTGATATAATCAAAGTTCAGGTCCAGCCCCTCATTGCAATATTCATTCTGTCATTAATTGTTAACCAATCAGAGTTGATTGCCACCCTCAGGAACACCTTTCTTCCAACGGGCATATAAGCCATGAGCCCCTACCATGATTGTCTTTGGTTTAAGAGAGAGACCATCCTTTTTATTAATAAACATCCTGGTGTTACTAATAAAATGATTAAATTTCCCAGAAACTGTCTCTTGAACTTTTTAAATGTCACATGTATCGCTTGGGAAATGCCAGTTAATAGGTAAATATTTATTGGGTGCCTCCTATGTACTAAATGTTGGGGATACAAAAAGACGCAAAAGACAGTGCTTGCTCTCAAGGAGATTACATTCTAATGGGGGACAACATGCAAACAAATATATACAAAGCAAGCTATATACAGGATCAATAGGAAATAATCGACAGATGGGAGGCATTGGAATTATAAAGGGTTGGGGATGGCTTCCTGTAAAAGATGGAATTTTAGTTGGGACTTAAACCAAGGAGGTCAGTAGGCATAGATGAGAAAGGAGAGCATTCCAGGCATGGGGGACAGCCAGAGAGAATGTCCAGAGCCTATACATGGAGGCCAATGTTGCTGGATCAGATAGTACATGGTAGGGACTAAGGTGTGAGAAGATTGGAGAGGTGGGAGGGGGCTAGGTAATGAAGGGCTTTGAATGCCAAACAGAGCATTTTTATGATTGCCAAAGAGAGGCGATAGGAAGCCACTGACCTGCACTTTAGGAAAATCTGGAGGATGGATCTACATGGAAGAGATGGCAGGCAGACCCACCCACAGGCTATATTTACCCCCTGGAAAGCCCAACATAAACCCGAAGGACATTGGTTTGGACTGTCTAGCTTTCTCTGACCTTTGCTTGCTCAGTCACCTTTATTATTTTTATCTGCAGCCTGGAGCCTCAGGCATAATTAGCTTTCGGCAAGCTGGGTACCTTCTGCGCCTCTGATGAAAACTGTGTAAATGCAAGCCTAGGTATTAGGGCTCCTGTGATCCTTGTCCTGCTTCCAGTTTGTTGTCCAGCACTGGTGATAATTCTTTTTCACTTGCTGCTTCCCCCCCTCCCCCCCAATATTCCCATTGCCTTATTTTTTCATTCATTCATTTATTTATTTTGAGATTGGGTCTCTCCCTCTGTCCCAACCTGAAAGTCCAGAGGCCATGATCTGCAGGGCAGCTTTGAACTGCTCCATTTCTGACTTGGGCTGGTTCACTCTTCCTGAGGCAGCCAGGTGGTCCCCAACCGCAGGGGGTTCACTGTGTTGCTTGATTGGGTGCTTGATTGATTCCCCAATCAGTTTTAGCCCTACTGGAGCTCAGAACTCCAGAACTCCAGGGCTCCAGTGATTCAGCAGCTCCTGCCTTCCAAGCAGCAACAAGGATGTGTGCCCCGACAGCTGGCCTCCCATTGCCTCTTGGTGAAAATGGGAAGCAACGTGGTATTGGGACAATTACCTTCAATCTCAATGCAGTCACTTAGTTATATGTAAGGTCAATTAACAAGGGTCAAAAATTACCCAGAGCAAACACTTTTCCGTGACCACCACTGAATATTTTAATTAAAATTTTTTTGTTATAGTATTAACTTGAAGATAATCAACAAACAAACATTTCCATACACAGAGAAGAATAGAAAAAGAATTGTACATGAAACCACAAATCTGCATTTTATAATGCTTGGGTTTTTAAAAAAATATGCAATAAAGTCAAAAGTTCCAAAGTTGTCCTGCTTTTTTGTGTCTCCTCTAATCAAGTCAACAACCTGAATCGTTTAAGCAAAAGTTTTCCTCTGTATACTACAATACGTGTGTCATTTGGGAAATGCCGATTAAAAACTATTTATTAGGTGCTTTCTATGTTCCAGGAACTGTGCTAAGTACTAGAGATTTAAAAAGGCAA